ATTCTATCATGGCCCAATGCAATTTACCTTTCTCTATCATTCTTTGCAAGTGGGAAGTTTTTGTTAAATCACAACCGAGGCCACTACATTTACATTTGATGGTTTCACGACAGGCCGCATATACAAATGTATTTATAGAGAATAAGTATAGGTATATTCTCTTCTTAAAGATCGTGTATGCATGATTGATCAAATTGGTTGCATAGATTTGTCTATGAAGCAAGTTGTAAAAGTTGGTACATATAGTTAGTCGAAAGAGAAGCAAATTCCAAAGAAGTTGGGCATACTATCATGACAAAAGGAGCCATTCTCTTTGTGATCATTACAGTTCTGGCGAGAGCAACAGCATCATCGATCTCAGTTCACGAGGGCAATGTTCGAAGTGTAACATGCTTCACAGCAATCCTGAGCATGGATGGTGACTCATCCCACAAATCCAACTGGCAGTTTCTTCCATATTTACAATCAAGCAGCCAGCAGGCCTTTCTTGCGTACATGGTCTCCAGCTTCTCGGGTTGAAACCTCACCGCAGAAGTTGCGGAGAAAGGTGGCCTTCTCTCAACCAAGAACTCTTCTCTCATAGAGCACAAATCCAAGGCAAAGATCAAGAGCTTGGGAACTATGAAGATCACCATGTGGGCATTAGGTCTTGACGCGCTGGAGCTGGAACCTGTCTTAAGTTCACGCCCGTGGTAATCCGAGCCATTCCAGGCACCACAAAGTATGCATTCTTTTCCCTCTGGGAAGAGAAAGATGGTGTACTGAGCAACACTGTTGGATCCAAAGTTTTGACCCTTCCCAACTGGAACACGCATATCGAAATGTCAAGCGGGATGACTTTGAGAAGCATCGATCCTGATCGTGCCAATGCAACTGGCCTCGGTTTTTGCAAGGGGATGGAGCTAGATCCACAAACTTTCAACCGAAGCATTGTAAAGCTCAGGGGGAGAGATTTTGATCCATGGTCGAATTTCAGGGTCAATACAGCTCCAGAAGCAGCAGGATTCGACATGTCCCAGGGAGTCGTCTTCGCGAGTAGGCCACGCAGAAACCTTTGCCTTCTTGGAGCTGACAACTCCTCAAGCAGCAATTCCATTACCTCGTCAGTCGACTTGACGACCACCACGACACTTGTCCACGTTCTGGGATCTTTCATGTCTCACGTCAAGAACTCTTACATTCAAGCGCAGAACTCGGCCCTGGATCTCAATCATCCAGCGTCGGATTTCTGGGTGGCAGCAGTAGCTCTTCCCAGTGCCTTCATAGCCGTGGTGGCAGCAGCTGTGCCTTTCATCGATTTCCAGCTCAGGCTCTTCACGGACTTGACGAATTTCCAGTGATGGAAGACATTGATGCTTTGTGTGAGCAATTCCATTATCTCGGTTGCATCTTACACTCCTGTGATTGCCGTCACCCCTGCCGAGCTTCAGAGGGAGAGGAAATTTGCAACCTGGGGGCTGCTGGCAGACCAAGTTCCAATCACAAAGCGAGGGCTTGAAGTTCTCGTTGTTGTCAAGGGCGAGTCGGTATATAAATCCAGCAGCCTCATACTTGCATGGTGCTCCACTGCGATCCTCGTTCCAGTGGTCGCGTGCATCACATTCTATAGATGCAAGCAAGTTTTCTACAGGAGGGGGCTTCTCAATGCCCCGGGTAACCCGGAAGAAGAACGAATTCATGATCTTCTAGAGGGAGCGTGAGGCAGCTAGAAGAGCAGCGGCGGCGCTAGAAGAGCAGACTTATTTAAAATAAAACATTTTAAACAATTTTTATAAGAAAGCTACTAAAAATGCTTCCCTTTAGGTTAGCTGCAAGTTTAGTTCACAACCTTGGATTATCTAGGTATATCCATTGGTTTTTCTAAAAGAATTTAATTATTCACGGTAGACTCACTCCTTTGGAAAAACCATTAGTCAATCTCTGCATGGACATAGTCTTTATACACAAAGTTTTCTTCCAACTCCTTCAACAGGAACGCTGTCCCTGCACTAGCCATTGCAAGGCCTGCAAATATAAGCTTGAGAATGATCTCCTGAGGGATTCCTGTAGCAACAGCAAACACCACTGTGGCTCCAATGAGAACTCTCCCAGCGACCTTGAAAGCTTTGAATGCGTTCCTACACGAGGAGCAATTCAGTGTGTGCTGCTGGTATCGATCGAGCATCTGTAAGAACACAACACAAACGTTAAAGTAAGCTTCCAATAGCAGGCAATCACTTTACCTGTTGCTTGGACAGAACAGTCGATGGTAAAGGCTGGGTTTTGCTAGTTCCAGCGGCCCACTTTGGCTCACCATTGCCATGCTTGCGAAGCCAGTTTCTGAACTCTAGAACAAACCTGTCTGCTTGAGTGGGAGTAAACGTAATCTGCGAATACTTGGCGTTGATGTCTCCTCCTGTTGCCAAAAACTTCTTCTCTTGGCCTTGAAGAACTATCATGTCGCCATCGTAAACTTTGTTGGAAGTCCAGTGTTCGTGCCATCGTGGTACCAGCTGCAATACGAGAGAGTTAAAAAAGAACTGAAAGATATAAGAATGACGCGGAACTTGCCTGCCACCAAGCAGGGCCGGGCATGAGAAACGTGAAAAAATTACGAGCGCTGCAAACGATGGAGCGAGTTTGTCCTGGAGCCATTGGGACGTTGAAGGAGCAAATCCATATCTCCCATGTCTTAGGACCTTGAAGAGGTAGTGTAACTGGTATCTCGATCCTGAACAAAACATTGTTGAAGAGCTCTATCGCCAAAAAGTAGCCAAGAACTTACTTGTTTATGTAGTAGCATGGAGCTAGAAACTCGGCCGTGATCTTTGGAGTGTCGGAATTGGCACCAGAAAATCCCCATGGGCCTCTCGAATCCACCTTGAAAGTAAGAGGCTTGGCTCTATCCCTCTTGCCTGTAACCTTCAGTCGCAAAGCTTTCTGTCTAGCTCAAAAAGAACTGTGATACTGGATCTCCATACCTTGTGATGAGCGAAATCAATGTGTGATGGATCGGAAACGTTCTCCATAAGAGTGTCGTAGCCATAGAAGAGATCACGCTGTATAGTCACTGTCGAAAAGCTAGGATCATCAAACACAGCAGGCAATCTAAACAACAAAGACACACTTTAGCGCATAGATTTTGATGCCAGGATCACTTACTGAGGAGGCTGTGTTCTTTGAGCGCTTTCCCAGCCTTTCTCGTCAGGCCAAACAAACAGGAGCCCTTGCGAAACAACCGCAGGAAAGGAGATGGCACACGCTCTTGGAGAAGCGACCGCTTTCGACTCGGGGCCTTGAGTTGCCGCTTGCGGAATTTTTCCACAAGAGCCATCGCCCTTGAATGACCAACCGTGGTAAGAGCACTGAAGCCATCCATTCTCGTCAATCCTTCCTTCCTGTGCAGGAAAAAAACAGACCTCTTAGCCATTAACACATATAAAACTAGGAAAAAAAACTTAAAAGAAAACGTACCGATAACGGAGCCAATCTGTGAGGACATTGATCCGAGAAAGCCCTCCAGTTTCCTTCCCCGTCCTTCCACACAACTATCTCCCTCCCCAAGAGCTTGAATGGAGTAGCGGCCTTTGGATCCAAATCCTCTACAAGAGAAACCGGGTACCAGTGCTCGGTCCACGAGAACTTCTTGTCCTCCTTGTCCTGGCTCTCCCCAAGACTTTGCTGTAAGAATTGTTGCTCGTCTTCTTTCACAGTGCTACTAGACCCTGGCGCTGAGGAAGTTATTGCACCTGTGACCGTGATTTTTCCTCTTCTTCTCCTGGAGAAACTTACAAAACCGATGGTTTTTCTTGCCTTGATGAAGGCACCAGTGCTGCAGCTGGTACTGCTTGCGAGAGTGTCTAAACGTAGACTGTTGCACGCGATTCCTCCATAGACTGCCATGGCGGCTAAGGAAAGGAAAAGTGAAGTTAAAAGATCAAGTTTTGCTTAAAACGAAGTTCGAGAATGTTCGCAAACCACGGTAGCTCGACACGGCTCTCGACTGAAAACGAAATATCTTGCGCCTCAAGAAACTGTCTTAAAACTGATCGCGTGATCATGTTAAAGTGACAAAAAAAGTGCCGACTCTAATTCCTCAATGTCCAAGCACTAAAACCGAGCAAACCTGAAATCTATCTTCTCTTTTTGAAGCTTTTCTTTTGTTTGCGTTTGTTGTTTCGACCGGCTGAACTCTTTTCCATAATCTCTGCAAACTTACGCTTTCTACACACAAGGAAGTGCAGAGCAACTAAGCCAGGAAAATTCAAAAAACAATCTCGATCAAACCTGAAAGTTTGAACGCCGGCATCTGCGAGAAGCTCCTCTGCGATTGTGGCTTTACGTTCAGCCCTGGTCAGCCTGCTTGAATAAAACTCCCCAGGTCCTTCCACAACAGTACCAATCTGCACTGGTCATTAGAACTTCCTCTATATCACAAAACCTCTAGAGCTATTTACCTGAAAGTACTTGGGAAGTTTTTTGGAATCCTCCTTCTTGTAGTGACGCTTTGGATCCAGAGCACCTCTCAACTAAAGAGTAGCATCCAGCAAGCTCTTAGAACAAAGATCGAAGCTTTCAAAAGCAATTCATACCTTGATAAGCTGAAGCTCTCGTTTCAGCTCTGGTGTCAAAGTTTGTGCAGGCATGTTAAACCTGTGAAGCTGTGAGTGAGAGAGAAAGCAGAAAAACTACACAAAACTTACCATTTAGCACCAGCTGTGTCAGGGATATTTTTTCTGGCAAGCTTATTGAGCTTGCGAACGTTCCGTGTTGGTACGAACAATCCGTCTTGCAAATCTTTCTCGGGATCCATGATAGAACTCTGCAACTTTGTCGTAAGAAGCTGTGTGGAAGTGGGAAGGCCAGTGTTTGGAACCCATGAAACTGCTTTCGGTGTAGCTTTCTTGATAGAAAAACATTGTTTCTCTAGAGCTTGGCGATCCCCAACACTGCTATAGTTACACATAAGGAAGAACTTGAAAAACAAAGAAAAAAACTTACCGTGTAGAACCCGAGTGGACGCGTAGTGAATTCACCAGTAAATCGACCATGTCTTCGTCGTTCTCCTCATCGTCATCGCTGCTCTCACTATCGCTGCTCACTACCACCACATCACTCGATCCATTCGCGACCGATCCATCTCCCACGCTTGGAATTTCCTTCTCCTCCTTTTTAGAATCATCTGATCTGGCATTGGCGATCACAGGCTCGGCCACAATTTCCTTTTCTTGCAATACGGAAGAAGAATCTCTCCTCTCAGCTTCCAGCGCTCGCGGCTTCTTCAGCAATCCATCCACTTTCCTGGTGAGATTCTTGAGGCCAGTCCTCAGCATCATGATCGCTGGCGGAACATCCCCAGCATTCTCGTCATCTGCGCTCGCCATAACCTGAGCAGACAAAGAACCCTAAACCCCGCCAAAGAACCCTACCGCATCCAAGCCGTCCAAATTCAAAGCGGAGTAACGACAATCTCCACCGTCCAATTCAAAAAGCCGCAGGACCAAATCGTGGCCGTTCGTCGTAATCCACAGTTGAGGCGCGCCTAGGGCTTTTAGCTCCACAATTTTTGGCGATGGCGGGGGCGAGCTTCTCGCCTTCTCGGCGCGCGTGCTACATTTGATCCACTAGCGATGGCAGAGAATGAATCGCTGTTCCAAGGCACGTCGCGATGGCGGCGAATGTCGATGGATACGCTCCACGCAGCGGATGATGTCAGGTATGCTTACGATTTTAATTTTTTTTCTATCTCACCTGTTTGAGTGTTCGTGTGTTTCTAGACGCGATGGACGAGCTAAGAGTGCGCCTTACGTATCTGGGAAATATAATCGCGCTGGCTCACTTACCACCGAAGGTACTTCGTTAGCTAGTTCCAGCTGGGATTGCAATGTTTCTTTCCTTCTTTCTTTCATTCAGGAATTCCTTTGTCTACTCCAGCACCACTCTACAAGTATCTCAACCGGGGACCTAGTGCTGTAAGTCCACAAGAAAGGCGTGTTTTTTCTTACGGGGTAGCTTCTCCTAAACGCAAATTCACTCTTGCAGAGTCCAACACTTACGAAGAACTGGCCGGAGCTAAAGAACAGACCACGTAAACCACTTCGAAGTATGCTTTTCAATGTTCTAGTGATTCACGTCATTGACACAATAGTATTCTTGGTTTGCAGATAGGCCAAATGATTGCCTATACATTGATGACATCGAAGGCTGCCGTCCTGATCCAAAGGTAATTGTTTTTTGTTTTGATGATGCCGCAGCGATCTTTTTCAGAACATGAAGCTAGGAAACAAAGCGAGAGGCACAAGCCCGCTGGTCCCGGAATACAAGTTACCAAGTTTTGTAGAGCCTTCTCCTTATGAGCCGAAGTTCTTGAAAGACAGGTCCGTTTTCTCGCTTGTAAGTGTCCTTCATTAACATCTGTTTTACTTGTCTCAGCATGAACGTAAACGACATTGATGGGAGCCGACCATCATCACGAATTTCATCCAGGGTAACCTTTTGTGCGTATACAACACACTGAAAGCGTAGTAATTTTTTAATCAAGTCCTTTGCCAATGTAGGGTCTTTCTGATGGTCCAGGAGAGGGATCACATGACTGTGACGGACATAGAGGGCAGCACCGCTGGCTGGAAGCCTACTCACAGGCGTAACTTTGGTAACTCTTTTTTCGTTTGGAAGTTTAGTGGAGAATAAGTATGACACTTTCAGGGAAATATACAAGGGATTTATGCTTGCAAGTTCATGATATCAGTCCACCAAAATGTAGATACGTACGTGACCCCTGCTCGGAAGTGTACGAGCCGGTTGAAGGAGCACATCCACAACCGCGTTCACGGCCTAGAAGTCCATGGTCACCTGTCGATTCGAGCCTTCGTACCGCTGACATCGAGGTGAAGACGTCAGTTGTGAATAATTGACGACCGCATAGCGCTTTCTTCAGGGTACTGAAGCAGATAGTATGCTTTTAAAGTCTAAGGTTAAAATGCGGAAGAAGAAGAGCGCCAGTCGGAATATGGTGACCACTCAACAAGAAAAGGCAGAGCTGGTTGCCGTAAAACTGCTCAAGACGAGAGTATTGGTATGTTTAATACGATTCAGAATATTTTTCTGATGTATTTTCTTCGCAGGATCAAATGAAAGGGAAAAGCTGCAAAGAAGTCGTGCGCGCTTTCAAGAATAAAGATCGGCAAGCATCTGGTTTTCCTGACTTTTACTCTGGCGTTGCGTGCGTCTTACTTTAAAACCGTGTGCAGGCAAACTTACTATTGATGAGGTGGAAAACGTGTTTAGAGCCTTGGACGTCGGTCTAAATTCTGCAGAACTAAGAGTGTTCTCGACAGCCTTTGACAGTTCAATAGATGGTGAGCATTTTCCTTGTGGACTTTTTAATTGTTGTTATACCTTGCTTGCAAGCAGGGTATCTCAACTACTGGCAGCTCATCAAACACTTGGTCCCTGTCGTTCCGTCGAAGATCAAAACACCGGGTGCTACCAGGGTGGTGCCTATGGCACTCCAAGGATGGTCGCAGACAGTAGAGCCGCAGCCTTGCTTCTTCCAAAAGTCCAGAGACGAGACTTGCGCAACGGAGAAAGCACACGAGATCTCAAGCCAAACAGGACGACTTCGAGAGGCACCAAAAGCGGTTGACAAGAGCACTGTAGAGGCTGAGACGGAAAAAGAAGAAGACAAGCGCGACGCGGCGCTTCCTTGGCGCCGCACTCACAGCATGGACCTCAGCAGGCAAAGGAGACAAAGCGTACAGTTGCGAGGAAGACAAACGAGCTCGCCATTGCCGATAGGCGGCGCGTTTTGGCCCGAGGTGAAGCTGATAGGATCGCCAGTGCCTCCCAAGTCGTACCTGTCGCTATTCCACGATCACCACGAGCCTCACAACATATCTGGCTACTACCGGGTTTTGGACGACTCCGAGAGGAGGTGGTCGACGAGAGTCGGCGAAAACTTATACACGGGCGAGGCCAACGTCGTTTGCAGCACTTCTTACTCGGAAGGCACGCAGTGGACGAGGCCTCCAAGCTCGCAGAGACGCTCCAGCAGCCGGTGTAGTACGCCTCTGGTGGACACGACTCGCCCGTCCATGGCCATGTCCGGGAGAACTTCCAGGCCATCGACCGCTCTATCAGCGACGAGACCCTCCACCGCCATGTCCGTCTACTTCGACGACGACGATAACGTTTCCAGCCGAGCAGCGCACTACACCGACGAGAACTCGGGATATCATCAATCCAGGGGTGGCGACGTCGCCAGGAAACTTAAGCGTCCACAGTCGGCATCGACGGTTCTTCTTCGTGGTGGCACGCCGGAGTGCTTGAGGACGATAAGCAACATGAACAGCGTGGGTTTAAGGCCGTATACAAGCCACAGCGCCGTGAGAAGCCGGTCACCTTCTAACAGATTGACGATGCCACACGGAGTCCAGAGGCAGCTGTCGCAGATGATGGACGATATTGCGGCAGTGAAAGCTCTGGTTTGAGAAAAGGAGCTAGCGAAGTGCGCACAAAGGTACCTCCTTTTTCTTTTCTTTTTTTTGAGATGACTGCTTACGAACTTGTGGATGAGCAGAGTTTCTATAAGGTACACCAAGCTCGCGAATCTAGACTTAGATCGAGAAGAGGAACCTTGGACCAATGTGATTATTGAACTCTCCCTTGTGATATCATAGAGCCACATTAATGTATATGTGTAATTGTGCCAAATTTTGATCCAGAATTTTGTTCCAAGCTCAAGAGTATGCTCTATCTTATACAGTGAAATTCTCACATTTCTAGAAATATCTCGGAGAAAAGTCCACAATAGAGTCTCATCTTCTCATGCGGATAGCTTCTCTTGAACGTAAAATCACTGTCAAAGGACTGGCCCGAGCTAGAGAGCAAAGTATGCTTCTCAAGGTTCCAGCGATTCACGTCTCTCGCTTTGCAGATTGGACCAAATGATTGATATACATTGACGATATCAAAGGCTGCCAAAGGTTCCTGTTTTGGTTGAAACGCCTAAAGCTATCAAGGGAAGCCTCACGAATTCATCTTGCAGCGTGATGTTCAATACGATCCCAGGATCAAACGAAAGCTCCAAAGAAGTCGTGCGCGCGTTCAAGAACAAAATAGATCGGCAAGCATCTGGTTTCCTTGACGTCTACTCCGCCTCGCGTGCGTCGTACTCGAAAACTGTGCGGAAAGCAAAGCTCTACTATTGATAGTTTTCTCGCCAGCGTTTGACATTTCGATAGGCGGTCAGCATTTTGGTTGTGTGCTTCCACTGAAGAACGTAGCCTCGCCGCAGCCTTTGTTTCATCCTAAACTCCAGAGACGGGACTTACGCAACGAGATCTCAAGCAAACCAGACGCCAAGCGCCACGCTCCAAAAGCGGCGCTGTAGAGAAACAGAAGAAGAGGACAAGAAGCACGACCGCTTGCTTGTCGCCGCACTCACAAAGCAAGCAGAGAATACTGTTGCGAGGAAGACAAAGCAGGGCCAACGTCTTCAGCCGAGCAGGGAATTACACCAACTTGAGGTCATCAATCCAGGGGTGGCGACGTCGCGAACAAGTCTAAGCGCCTGGGCGCACGCCAGAGCACTCGAGGGCGAATGAATTGCGTGGGTTTCAAGTCCGTAAAGTTGACGGACGTGAAAGGAGCAAAAGTATAGCACACAAAGCTCGGCTTTTCTTTCATGTTAGAGACCATTAAGTCGGGTTAAGGTACACTAATTGGAGGTGACGAATCGTGAGAGTTCGACCACCTTTGTACTGGATGGATGAGGTACTTGATTCGGCCATTTTGGGGTTAACAAAAACAAGGGGATAGGAGCAACAGCGTGGAAGGCCAGCTAGCTGCCGTGGTTGCCAGACGCAAAATAGCTGAGAAAACTAAGGAATGGCAGTAGGATAGATATATAGCGCAGCAGCACTTATCCATTCGCCTGGTAAAATGGCCTCTTTATCTGCGTGGGATTTCGCGAAAAATCTGACCTTGGGGTGGCGGACTGCTCGAAAACTCTTGTTGTGATTATCCATCTGTGATCACTGGTGAGTCAGGAAATGCCGAGTTTTCGTAAGAGAGAAAGGGAAAAGAATGAGATCATCTGTGATCAGTCAGCAAATGCGAGGCAGCAGGAACTTGGGAGTCAGCAAAAGATTCCTCCCTGTCACTGACTTCCAAGTTTGCAAATCAGGAATGCAGCTATGGAGTTGCATTTTTTTTTTCTTCCTCCAAACCAGAGACATGGATCATGTAACCAAAGAAGTTCTGATCCATATGGAGAAACTCCCAAATTCCCAATCCAAGAAGTTGAGATCAGAGAAACCAGGGAGACTTTGGAAGCAAGAAAAGGTTCTGGACATTTGTCAAGAACAACCCTTTTTCTCTTTCTTCATTTTTTCCTCCATTTTTTTCTCTCTCTCTCTGATTCTCCTGCTGCTTCCGCTTCTGCTGCTGCTGCTGCGCTGCAAAACACGAGAAAAAAGAGTAGAAAAAAAACACAGCACTCCCATTCATCAATTCCACTATGCCATTTTCAGTCAGATCGAGAGAGAAGAAAAACTAGAAAAACAAGAAACACACACCACCTGCGATTTTACAGTCAAAGAGATTCTTTTTCTGATTTCCTCTGGAGCAGCATCAAGCTTGGCCAGAAAAATAAAAACTAAAGAACATTGAAAAAAAAGGGGAGAAGAAATCCTCTAAGTGTATATCATCTTCACAATATCATACCTAGGGAAGGAGGCAAAAAACCAGAGAAAATCCTGCTCTTCTTCTTCTTTTCTTGCCGTCATTGTGCTCAAAACTTCAATCTAATCCAGTGTGGGTGAGAGGGAGTGAGAGAGATAAGATCGAAAGGGATGAAGAACAAAGCTAGACAACTATAAGAAAAGAAAAGAAAAGAAAAGAAAAAACTGACCAAAACGCGAGGAACAAGCGATTGGATCGACCCAACAATCGTTCGTCCTCGCTCTTGGATCACCCGCCCAGGAATCCAGTCTGCATCCACACTGCGTTCCTCACTCGCCGGAGATCCATCCCTTTGAGCGTCCTCCCGGCGCCCTCGTACACCGAGAAGGCAGTGTGGCTCTTGGCATACTCCCTCGCCGCGAGCTCGTGAGGAGGGATCCTGTTCTTCTTCCTGCCCATCTCGCGACCGCGCGGATCCAAATCCTCCTCCTGCCACTCATCCTCCGCCTCCTCCACCTCCTCGGGCTCCTCCGATCCATCGAACCCATTCTCCTTGCCGCCGCGCTTGTCGATCCCCAGGATCTTGCTCCAGTCCGGGATGTTCACTGGCGCGGACTGCTGCTGGATCATCTTCCCCGGGTGATCGAAGGACGAGACCTGGGGGATCATCCGCGAGGCCGTGGTGGATTTGCGCACTGGCGCCGCGGTGGACACCTCCTTGGCGCTTGGGCGATTGATGGACGAGAGCCCCAGCGGCGAGGCTTGCTCCTTGGTGGAGGATTCCAGCCCCAGCCACTGGCGCCCACTCTTGAGGAATCGCGCCGATGGCTGCTGCTGAGAGGGTTGATTCTCGTCCAGATCGTCGGCTGAATTCTCGTCGCCGCCCCACACGTCCTCCTCCCGGAGCTCGCTGTCGGGTGGATCGAGCATCGAGAGCGGCGACGGGGATGATCCGGGAGAGATCCCGAGGAGCTTGTCCCGGCGGCTCGGCCCAGCCGCCGCGGCATTCCTCTCGCGGATCACGCTGGAGAGGCCGCTGGAGATGCGCTCCTTGGGCGCCACCGCGGTCATTCTTGTCATCATTGCAGCTCCTCTCGCTCGATGATCACGGCCTCTCTTTCTTCGCACGCGCTCGTGAGAGGAATTCTGGAAAGGGGAAAGAAGAGAATTCCTGCCCAGAAATCCTGGCTAGAACTAGGGTAGATCGATGGATGGATCGATCAATTGCTCTTAAAGCTGATCGCGATCCAAGACTTGTGCCGCACGATGCTGGAGCTCACCACACACCCCACGCTTCGACCATCCAACCCGATAGCTTGGAGAAGAAGATGAAGAACACGCTTGCGTCTAGAACTCTCTCAAGAAAGGGAAAACTTATAGAAGACCCAGTGGAAGGAGAAATGGGGACAACCAAACGAAGATCTCTCTCCTTCCTCGCGATGGCGCTTGGATTGGATCAACGAAGAAAACAAAAATGCCCCTTCCGGAAGAGATGGAGAGCACAAAATAAAAGAGGGGAAATCTGGAATCCAAATGCTCTCGCGAAGCAGCGATGGAAGGCCGAGCTACAAACCAGGGATTGAGAGACAAAAAAAATTGAGAGAGATCCCTTCCCAATGCCGCAACACGGCCAATCTTCTTCCTCTCGCTCCGCGAGAACCCTAAAAAATGGCCCTCGCCATAGCTTCCATTTGGATTTACTCCTGAAATTTTATATGCTGCTCATCCGTGGAGGACACCGTCCTTAGCAGGGGATCGTTTACACCAGGGGCCCTTAGTAAAGTGTGGTTTAGGTTTGGTGGAGTTTAAACTCGGCTTAAACCCGTGGCGTTTAGCGAAACCCATGATTGGGTTAATTTCAAATGATGACCTTGGATTAAAGTCTAAGTTGATTGTTCAGGGTACGTTGGAATACGCGAAAGTATACGATGCCATCATCGAGCGTTAAAAAAAAACTTAAATTCCTGCGCAGAGAGTGTGTTGATGGCCGGAATCGTGATCATGGGATTCAAAGTGGATGATTATGCGGGGGAATATGCTCGTCCGGTATGAACCTTGGGGAGAGTTACAACATCACAAAGGCACACGGGGCATATAAGTTACATGGATGGATGGAACTGAATCTCTCCGAATCTTTTTTTTTTTTCTCTTTTCTTTGCGAGTACCACGGATGAATGGATCGACAATCAATCGATCAGCGTGATGGATCGATCCATCCGTGGCTCGCCACACTTGCTTGCAGCGAGCGAGTGCGTTGTCACCTCGTCATTATCAGAACCAAAGGAGAAACAAAAGACAAAGCAATCGGCGACGAAGAAGAGGCGAGCGCGCGGCGCGCAAGCTTAAGTTTCTCCTCCACCTGTGAAAGCTTCCAAAACCGGCGGATTGTTACCAGGGAACCCTAACGCCAAACACCATGGAGGTCCGTCCACGTAAAAGTGAGAGGGCATCACGGAACCTTTAAAAAGAATGGGCGAGGAAGTTACATCCGGTAAGAAACGTAGTATACTTCCCCCTAGGGTTCCGTGAGCGACATGGCCACCTTTCCCCTTACAAGCCCCAAAGTTATAAAATTCTAGGGTCAGCATCGTCCGCCAACTTCCAGTATTATAACAGTGGACACATAGACACTACTCACGCCATAATACTGCCAATGTGCCAGAGATACACCCAACAATCCATGTACGGCCATCCCGCCCCTCTAGCGAATTGCCCGGTCCCCTTATAAATCTCCATGCATTCCATTCTTGTCCATACCATACCATACCACCACCCTGTGGCGCCTCTGGATTGGCCCTGGTTTAACATAAGCCAAGATTACCCTGTTAGTTTTAAACTAACCCCGAGTGTCGTTTAGGGCAGGTGCCTATTACTCTCGTTTTGCGCGCCGTACGAGACGCGATTCCCGCCAGTGGGCCACAGCGTACGGCCGCGTCAGTAGCAGTATACGTGTCCCGGGGCCACGCTAGGGACACGTGTCCCGCGGATAATGTGGGAAAGCGACGTTGTCCCCATCCCGTAGGTACCCATAATGAAATGATGGGTATGGGCCACACACACAAACAACGCCAGCGCGTACGGACTGGGCCAGTGACCAGCTTGTGTACGGAGCGGCGCAGTGCTCGGTAATCAGCCGGCAACCTTGTTGTTAATTCGCGCGGTGTTGAAAACGGCCAGCCACACAAACAAGAGTGGGAAAATCAATAGGTTAATCGGGAGACAATGTGGATGATGAAGATGGATAGAACCTTGCTTGGATTGTCACCTTGTCCCCACTAAACGTTTAACAAGGCTTATGAGGAGACAAAAGATTTGATTACCAATCCCGCTGATACGCACGATCTCGTCGCCGAGTTTAAAATGTTCTAAGATCGGGCAGCTGTGCCGTCGTAAGTGGCTGCTTTGATAATCTGTTGATTATTCCTGGTTATACATGATAAAAGCTTGGCTCTCGATCGAGAGTTTAAGTTTACCTCTTTTGTCTTTGGGGGCCTTTTTGTAAAGCTTTTGACACTGTGACGAGCGATTTAGCACCGCCCGTATCGTCGTACAAGAGTGCTGCCCAGAATGGTGACACTATCTTTCTCTTTTCTTCGCTGGATGGTCTATAAAGAAATAGCAAAGTCATTGGAAGTATGAATCAGCCTGCTTAAATTTCAAGTAGTAGTACTCACTCACCTTTGTTTTAATGGAGTCGCATATGCAACTTGGAGGATTTGCAGGCCAAACCTCTGCTTCCGTCCTTGAACTCGCTGTTCAAAGCAAAAAAAACATAAAAAAGCAAACCTTTCATGTGACCCGATGGATGAGGCGTCACAAGCTCCTGCTTTGTTTTGTAATCCCGAAATCACACGGACTGCAATTACAATCCTTGGAAAAGTTTGCCTCCTCCTACTTGACCTTTGACAAAGCCTTGCAGTGGTTCTGTGAATCATCAAACAGAGCACCATTTTCTCTCTGGAAGATAAAAAATTAAAAAGAGGAGACAATCACTCAAGGGTCCTACGCCAAAGGAACAAAATCAAGATCGGAAAAAAGCAAGGGAAAAAAACTTGCAAAAAACAGTTGCTCACCAGTCTTAAGTTTTTATTTTTGTTTTCCCAGTGGATGACCGAAGCGTTACTTTCACCACCCAAATCCAAACAGTGACTAGTGGACCTTGCTGTGAAAGCGGCAGTCGAGCTGTTGAGAGTGGGAAGCCTTTGCTTTCTGCGCGTATATAACCATTCCACAAAAGAACATCAAAACGCAAACGAGAAACCTGTTTTGCAGCACCAACGCGAGCGCTGCCTCTCATAGTGTTGTTGTTGTTGTGGTCGAAAACGATTGAAGAAGCTTTCCTCCAACCGGTGGATTGTTGGCTGTTGCTCGAGTTTTCAATGCCGCAACTGTTTTTTTTTAATTCTTGTTCCTTCGATTGCTAGCCGGGTAACAGTGAAGCCACCACCGCTGCATCATCAGCCGCTGTTACTTCTTCGGCATACATTTCATGCCCCTTCTTTCCAGCCCCGGCATCCAGAATCTCCTTTAGCTTTTGTAAAGCTGCAAGCATGGATATCGAAAGTGTTAGTACTGCATTTAATAAAAGAGATTCGGGCCGAGACGGACCAGTCCAATAGCGGGGACGGAGCTCTTTAGTGGATTCGGAGGACACTTTGTACGTCTTGCAGGAGCTGTTTTGGACCTTGGCGAGAATGCTCTTGAAATACCTCACCTACAGGATCGGACAAACGAAAATGAGTGAGCGAGATGAGAGAAAAGAAAAAGAGAGAGTGATGGACTTTTCTTTTTTACCTCTTCCTTGCGAAGAAGCGTGAAGCAAGAGCCTGATCTTCCAGCTCTAGCAGTCCGGCCGACTCGGTGTACATATGTTCTCGCAAAAGGAGGCATGTCGTAGTTGATTATGTGCGTGACACCTTCGACGTCCATTCCCCGGGCCATTGCGTCAGACGCCACCAAAACTTGTGCTTCCCCGGCTCTAAACGCGGCCAAGGCTTTGCTGTACAACGACACAGACAAGAGAGTCAGTGTAGACAAAGTTTTTGGTCGTCCCACACCTTCGTGCCAGCTGATGTTGGAAGCTCGAGTACTCGACAGCTCTAAAAGGAAGATCCTCGAAGCACGCCAGGAATGTTGATAAGCGATGAGTGTTTGACACGGACGAGGTGAAGATCACTGTTCGCTGATCACCCAGGCTGTGCAAAAGTGTGACGAGTTTCAATGGCTTTTGTTGCGCCTTACAGATCTGTATAAGAGAAATGAGAGAAACACATAACACGCATAAAACGCCGAGAGAAGAAAAGTGTCACAACGTTGTTAAAACCAAAACTTACAATCGTGTAGGACCGCAATTGCTCTGGGAGCTTATACAAGTTGTCCGATGTCGACAGTGCAATGGAAAGTGGATGGTACAGCCCAAGCTGTGCGATCTTCGCTGGATCCCTTGTCAAAGTAGCCGATACAATAATCTTCTGAAGCCTCGGTACGACGCAGCCTTTGATACCTCTTTCTAAGCACCTGATAAACGAGGAAAAACACACAAGACTTTGAAACAAGACCGCGAAGGAATATAAAAACTTACGAGCGGCGGATGGTGCGAACCGAGCCAATGCCGGGATTACTATCGTCGCTGGGAGAAAAGTTCTTGCCAGTGGCTGCTTCAAGGACGGTCGGAAGCCATTCCTGATACGCCTCACGCAGAAGTCGATCTGTCTCATCTACAACCTTGAGAAAAACGTGGAGCTTAGAAAAAAAAAAAAAAAAGGAAAACGAGAAGATGAAAGTGCTTACCAAGTATTGAAGATGCTCCAGTGTAAACCCAGGAGTGTTTTGTATGTGATCCATGAGCCGACCCGGAGTGGCAACCAGAATGTCGACTCGACTCTCCGGAAGATTATCACTGGCAAGATGGAGCTCCCGGAAGCAAGTATCGGTTTTTCCAGGGAAAAGCACGAGCTGAGAGGCTTCAGCGGCTACAGAAGTTTGTCCAACAGCAATACCGATGGAAAGACCAACCGAAGGAGCTATAGCATCAAAGACTTGCTTCACCTGGAAAAATACCCCGAAGAACACAACGAAAGAAATGGAGAAAGAAAAAACACCCAAAGAGAGAATACCTGCATTGCTAGATCACGAGTTGGCACCACAATGAGAGCTCGAAGGCGCCTTAGAAGACGCTGGGAGAGGCTTTGAGCGATGGGCAAGGAGTACGCGAGAGTTTTGCCACTCCCAGTGGGAGACGAGATGCTTAAATCCCTGGCGCCACCTCCAGGACCCACGGTTTCGTGCCACACCGCCGCTTGCACGGGGAATAGCGAGTGAATTCCAACGTTTCGCAACGATTCCATCAAGCTGCATCATCAAAGAAATCGAATGCCACATTGCGAGTGATCGCACGTACCCAGGATGAAGAAATGGCACAGAATCGAGGCTTTGCTCCTCGAAAGACTTGACATCCAACGGCTGGCGCATCCATTGCAAGACCGGAGGCGCCTTTGCCATGTAAACCCTTCCTCATAAACCCTAAATAAAATCTCGATTAAAATATTCAAAACAGTTAATAATAAAACATTTCAAGCGTTTAGGGCTCTGAGGGTTTTAGGGCGGCGAAAATGCTTGGATCTAAAATCTTTTGAACAGGTGGCTCTTCCGCTCGAGAGTGC